CCCCAAACTTTTGTTTTTAATAAGTTTACAACATTTTATTGCTGCCATGCATTTTTTTAATTTCCATGAACAAAATGTGTTCTTTGCTTGCAGCAATATTTCTACTCTATCTTCACTCAATAGATTTATAGATAGCGTGCCAGCTAGATTGAATTAAAAAAAAGCTAGCTGGCAGGTATTTAAGCAGCCAAAAACACAGATTTCTTTCCTCCTGCTGGTAGAATCTCATAGTAATAACCTGGAAGATCCATCTGTCTGTTACGTTTTCTAACAAGATGGTTTCTAAACTCATCCTATTAAACATTTAATAAAGTAAAGAAAATCCTAAACTTATTTTCGCAACGAAAACATCTTTATTTTTCATTAAAACAGAAGCATAGAAACACGAGTAACAAGATTCAAACTATTGCCTTTTAGCATCAACAAAAGCCTGACACAACAGGCCTGATGAGTCAGGCATTAGGGTGGTGGCCTGGTGTTTCATTAAACACAGATAGGCACTTTAGCAGCGCATCTAAAACAGAGACTATGGTGAAAACCTGCTAATCCTCTACAGACAAGCAGGGAAACTGCAGCTTTGCTGAAATATCTTTCCAAAGAATCTACACAAACTCTGTTGCTTCACTTCAGCAGAATTATTATCAATTATGCAAAACAAATGTAATAAATAACCAGCGGCGACTGGAAAAATGACTGGTTTACAGCAGAGGCACATTAAGCAGACTGCAAAATACAGAGAAAAGATTGTAGTTCGCTTCCAAATGAGAATTTGTCTTCTAGAAAGAAAGAAGCGATCTGTGCCCTAAGGGCCCTTCTTCGACAATGTCTGTCTCTTCAGCAGACAAAGACCAGACTTCAGCTTGGTGACGGGGGGCTTCTGGCCAAAAACACTGACATTTACTGATGGAAAGACTGCTCCACTGCTGGCCTATCAAAGATCCAATCTAAGACTGTTACCTTCCTCTACATCGGATCAATAGGATATTTTTCATTTAGACCTTGGGGCTAATTCTGATTTATTTAAAATCAAAGTAAAAAGTGACAACAATGTGTCTATGATTAGCATTAAATGTGCTGTAATTCATGGTCTGCAGTGAGTCATGAAGGAGAAAAGGTTCACAGTAAGGCTGGTGAATAAAACGCCGCTCCCTGCATCAGTCACATCCGGTCTGATCTGAAACATACATCCCCACCTCTGCGGTAAAATCATTATTCATCAGTTAAAGGTAAGTTTTTATAATCCTGCTTCCCAGCTGGTTAACAGCCCTTCACTAAAACCTGGTCTAGTTAATGACTGATCTATTAAATGCATCTACAGCCAAGACATGAAAAGTCCTAATATCAGACTAATAACATTAACCTCTCAGACCTAATTCTCTGAATGCACAAAGCCTCACTAAACTAAAAGTTTTTTTATTTATTTATGACATGTTAAAATGCGCAAAATTCAATTTAATAGACTGATCTTAGGTAAGACAAACACATGAATGTGAAGCTTAAGGAAAACTGCTGTAGAAATATGTAATCTAAGTGACATGTAGGTTTAGGAAACAGGATCTCTTTATTATTTTGCAGAATTACTTTAAAAAGTTGATGTAGTTACACATTAAAGGTGTGTGCCACTAAGCTAAAGGACTTGAATATATCAAATTTAACAAAACTTCATAAAAAGCAGGAAACATTTGTGCCGTTTTATTTCTTTTAGTAAAACAATGATTCAAACTACTACAAACATGAAGCTAAAAACTGTCTTTTGTTCCTCTTACATATAGCTGAAGGATTCTAATGACTGTGACTGAGAGATTGCTTAAAGCAATTTCCTTTTCAGGCAGAGTTTTATATTCAAAGCAAATTTAGCAAGAGTTTTTACACAGTAACAGTGTCATTGTGCATCATGAATCATATTTCTAAACATAAAGAGTTTCCTCACTCAGTCTTTTTGAAGCTCCAGCCACTCCTACAGCCACGAGTTTAAAAAATCTAACTCAGTTTGGACCAAATGGAAGTTATGGTTCCAGTAAAAGCAGATGTCAGAGCTTCAGCACGCCGACACAATCTGGCCAATGTTCCCAAATGTTCCCAGCTTCATCAGACCACTTTGGGGGCGATTTCTCTTTCCTGTCCCTTTGTGACGGCTCAACATTAGCCTGATAAACCAGATGTGTACATGGCAAATTAGTCTGGAAAGGCCAAAAGTCCAAAACAGGGACTATCGGAGTTAGAGGAAATAGTTAAGAAACAATCAGATAACTCTAAATGTTAAGGAAAATGTATTTGTTATCAAAAAACAACCCTAAAAACTCTAGCAGCAGCCAGTTAGACTGGAGCCTTATCAGACTGGTCCAGCTAGCAAAGGTAAGTTATGCTTGTCTGAGTCCCACATCAGTGTCTGACCCCACAAAAAGGCTTCTGGAAAAACTGAGCAACATTCTCATAGAAAAAACATCCTGAAGTGTTGCATAAAAATGCTTCCCTGAAGAGTTGAAGCAGTGACAGTCTCACAAGGGTGCGGTGGCATAATACCATGCAGCTCAAGTTTAAGTGTGTGAAGGCAGACCAGGCAATAACGTGCATCATATCCCACCATAACTTGTGCCATTAGTGAGAATTATGACCTTGTTTATTACTTTATTCGTCTGAATTATGGAGCACTTACCAACAAGCTCATTGGGGTCCTTCTTCTCAGCTTCTGATGCCTGTAATAAAAGAAAGAAAGAAAGAAAGAAGGGGGGGGACCCCATTGTACATTCAGATGTTAATTAAGTAAATAAAAAAATAAGACTCCATAATAACTACATTGTTTGCAGGGAAATATGAACAGAAGAGGAAATGTCAGTCTAAACAGTTATGATCAATTACTAAACAATTAGAGCTAGTGAAAAAAACAAAAACAAAAGCTCTATGTGGACCAAAGCAAATCCCAGAACGACCCCGCCCCATCACAGCCCACTATGAACCGTTTCTAGGAGCCAAGTACAGATTGTAAATGTGTTTAGTTTCCAAAGAAAGCCTTGTCTCAGCCACAGGAGTCGTCCTCCACAATCTCTAAAATATGCCCTGTGCTGTGCCAGCACCCTGAAGGTAATCCAGGTTCAGCACAAGAGTGCTGTTATTCACAGGAATTGAACCATCACCTAGCAACAACGCCGGCACATCAAATAATTGTCCACACCGCAAGAAAGGAGGAGGACAAAGTTCAGCGGATCGCTGGCAATACTCCAAACGCAAAACATGGAGACGGCGAGTTGTTTCTAATTCATCAGCCGCTGCCTGACATTCAGCTCCCATTTAACTGGACTTCACACCAACGTTTACTCAGTCACAGCAAAGCAAACCCATAAGGTTTCTAAACTAAACAAAACCCTTAACTTGGCAGAAGAATGAGCAATTCTAATCAATTATAACACATTTTACCATTTTTTTTTAAAATAACTATATATTGAAATAAAAAAAAGAAGTTTCCATAAAATTGAGCGTCAAAAGCATATGTTACAGTTTCAAGCTACAATCGGAGAAAGATACTCTAAGTACTTTAGATGCCATGGCAACATACTTTTGGTAAAATGATCAGAGTTGATGGATCACAACATGCAATAAGACACATTTATTTAGGCAAACATATAAAAAAATATTCCTTTCCTGTTTGGTACATAATCGAAAAACTGGTGCCTGTTCAGAACCGGTTCCGTGTGTTCAAATTTCACGGCACCGTTTGGCAGCTCGCTTAACAATTCTCTTAAGCCGGGCATACACTGTGCGATTTACGGGGCGATTTTCCAGTCGTGTGAGAATCTTTCGATCGGCCTGACTTTCTGCCTGATCATGCGTTGTGAGTTGTGTAGTGTACAGGGGGTAACGAGGGGCGATCAGCCTCTCACGCCCACCTCCCGATCAGGAATCGTAAAAGTTTTCTCTATGCCGTTGTGGGCAAATCGCTCAGTGCCATGCGCAAACAAGGATCCTTCTGTAAACACAGCAGCATGGCAGGGGTGCAAAAAATGAAATGCAGTTCTGTCTGTAAAATTGACAGACCGTAGTAGCCATGTTTACTCAGCCATGTCTTTTTTCCAAATACGTCGTCTCCTTTTCTTTTCAGGGCTTTCAGCACAAAACTGCACAAATTGCCAAGGCAGCGCGTTTCACTATAGTGAGCTTAATAGTCCTCTTCTATTTGTCTGGCTTCTAAATAGACGAGTCAGAGCAATTTCATCTCACTGTGGACCTGAGTCCGACATGGTTTTAGTCGTACATTGTGAGGAGGTAGATCGCATCAGAGCGTCAGGCCGAACATAAATCGTGAGCTGTGAAGTCACACTGTACGACTAAACCCTGGGGCCTAGTCGTACAGTGTGAGCAGTAGTTGCATGCAACGACTGAAAAAGAAAAGAAAAAAATATATATATATCGCACAGTGTACGTCCGGCTTTAATGATTCAGCAGCATCAGAGCATAGCGGTGGGCAGCAGGATTTATGTCACGTTTTTTACACGGCATTCAGTAAGCGAGTACGACATAACCAGGTATAAGTCTAGAAAAGCAAAAAACAAAAGCACTCAAAGCAATCATTGCAAAGTAGCAATTACATCGGCAGGAGCAAATCCATCCAACATGCAGAAATCCCTGCGTACACAACAGGGCATACATTTTATCAAATGCTGCGTTTTTGATGCCTTCAGGACCTCCAGTACTGCTAGGTCTGACAATATGAGCAAAAGGCTTCAGTTTGAATGGTTACATTTTTTTAAGTACTGATTAAAATTGATTAAAATGACACCAGCAAACAAATGTTTAAAAGAAGCAAAAGTTTGCTGTAAAGATGGTAGAAAACGTAGGTTTTCTGCATGGTTTCATCATCGTTTTGCCTAAAAAAAAACAAAAACATAACATTTGTTTCTGCTGTTTTCCGACAGTGATCTGTATCACTAAGATGATGATTTATTTTTAGGGGACCTGAATGTAAGTATCAAAAATGTTCCATTCAGTAATCGTAACAACACTGATGCACTGCAGGGTTGGTGTAACAATAGCCTCTTTCCCACTGAAAATACCCGGTCAACAAATGTTTTTCAAGCTAGGGTCAACCCACTAACAATCAGCATTTGGCTCCATTCTCATTGGCAAAAAAAAACTGGGTCTAACCTGTCACAGACAAGATCTGTCCCTTGGTGGCTGTGTGTCTTGTGACACAATCACTCTGGGTTAGTGTTGAGTATGTCATCAGTGCGACAAGTCAGGAAAGAAAACAATGGAGAGCACCATGTAAGGAAACCAAGGTGTTGTAAGTGTGCTTTATTGTTTCACTTTTATCTGTCTGAATCCCTCTTACCAGCGCTGCGCCATGTTTAGCGACTGCAAACAGAGTTGTTTGGGCTTGTTAGATCAGATGTGACTGGTACAGTGTGTTCACGTCAATACATTGCGTTCAATGGTGTCACGTAATTTAGCGGGTCGACTACATTACGATCAGAGCCGAGGTGATTTTAACACGGGTCGCTTGCCGAGGCGTTGGTCCCAGGTAGACTTGCATAAGTGAGCTGTTCCCACTTCCACTAAAATCTGACTGTTTCTGTGTTTAAACAGGTTTTCCGACTAATGAAACCCTTTGTGGTCATTTTTTGTGAAAAGAGACACAAGTCAACCATTTTTGTTGGCAATTACATAATAAAAAAATAAAATCAGAAGTACTGGATGTAAGACACTATGTAAAATGACATTATTTCTAAACCATGTTGTTGTTCTTGTAAGAGAGCAAGACATATAACAGAAAGGCTACGTTAGAATGTCGTTTGCTTTCCTAAAACGTTAAACCCAGTTTATTGGCAAACATGTTGAATAAGACACTTTGGTAGCTTTAAAAAAAAACAGATCTAAGTAACAGGTTGACTCTCTGAACAGGTAAGTTAAATAGACAGATGTTTTACTAATGCTGGCTGCTAGTTAGTAACAACAGGTCACTGATGATAAAAGTAAATAACCTTATTTTAAAGACTGTAATATTTTAAAATTAATTCAATGATTAACAGCAATCCTACATGTTAACTGTGAGTGAAAGTAATAGTGAAGTTTTGGATCAGCTGAGCGAGATTCCAGAGGAGAATCTGTTAGAGATGGTGTCCTGTAATTATACAGCCCATTAAGTCCAGGGACCCCAAAGGGGTTTATGCTGCATTCAGCTATTCATGCACATATTCCCACGCTGATGGTGGTGAGCAGCATTGTAGCTAAAGATGCCCTCAGGCAGACTGGCAGAAGCAAGCCTGCCTTATAATCAGCACCACCAACAGCAGGCAAGGCATAAGTGTGTTCTCCTAGGACACAACTGAAGCGACAATAGATAAAATATCAGTATTTAATTATTTTTATTGGAAGATAATCAACTAGACTGATTTTAATTTCAAGAATCAAGTAAATGTTGATTCTTTAGATTTAGAATTGATTCTTTCTGATCCAATCCGATCTGATCTCAAATTGGATTGCTGGTATTAAAACCTTTTTTATCCGTTAGATGAATAAAATAACTGTAGTCATGCAATACATTGGTGCCTGTAAAATATTAACATTCAACAGCAAAGAATAGAGTATTAGGAGGTAGAGGTGGATGTAAGGACATTGGAAAAGGCTTTTTTTTAAATCAATCTTTGCTGGTATGCATTGATCAATTCAGAATTGCAAAAATTTATATTTTTTAACACAGCCCTACTGTTGAGAACACTTAAAAGCAAACCCTCTGTTGTTAAAAACAGACACTGTTTCATAGGAGAAATGGTGTTCAACACATATTTTAATAGTTTGTCGGCACTTTAGCTGAATCCTTATCAAGTAATTGAGCGCCAAATCTCAAAAAGAGGAATGTAATTCTGGTTAAATTTAAAATGAAAATAAATTAACAGAAAGGCAAACAAGGAACCAAACGAACTGATCAGTTAAATGCCAAGGCTTTTTAGCCGACCGATAATTGGCTCAGTCTCCTTCTTAATCACTGGATCAGTTTGACTGACTTAACTTAGAGCATAAAAGCTTAACAGGTATTTACATTATTCAATGTTTACTTTTGTGCGCCGCCATCTCAGTGTAGGAGCTATGATGGAGAAAGCCAACCCTATATGTAGCAGAAGAAGCATTTATGAACACTTTAGTAAGAGATCCTTAGATTCCCCTCCATCAACTGTTGCAACAAACCCAACAAAACAAAAACAAAAAAACCTGCACGGCTATAGAACAAAGCCAATTTCATGGTGAATTTAACTGTTAAATCAACATTTATTTAGTGCGTGTAATGCTGATATTGGGGATGTCCCGATCCGATAGAAACACCGTCTCCATCTTCTTCTGTTTTAAGTTAATTATAAACGGCTCAGCTGTTCTCATAGCTTTTATTGTTGACGGTTATTCTCAGTTTAGGTAACAAACTTTTTTTTATTCTATTTTTTTTTACTTCCACACAAAAATTAAATAAGTAATAAAAGAATGTGTGATTCATGCGGATATTGCATCGGGTCAATATCTAATAGCTGCTGTATTTGGACATCACTAGTTTCATGTAATAGAAGACATGATAACTATATTCTGCCTTCAGGAGCCAAGTAGAGTCATTCAACCATTTTGGGTAAAATCAGCTGCTTTGATGTTGACAATCATTGCTTGTTAGTTTAACGAGCCGCAAACGGTCACGGTGGGCTCTCATTGGTCAGACAACTTTTGATTTTACTCCATGACACGTCGTTTTATTTCAAGAAACAAATGTAAAGGAAGCAGGCGGTGGTTTTTTGCTTTTCCGGTCAAAGGTATAACTTTGTGATAAAGTTGGTGGGGACGCTCTAAGGATAGGGGCTGATTGACCTACAGCTACTCAACCCAAACGTTTTCAATAGGGTTTATTTTTTTTCACAAATGAGCTCAAACATATATTTATTGAATGCTTTCCTATTTTTGAGAACACAAGAGTATCACAGTAGACTAATATTTAGGGAGCCTTTAGTGCATCATTTATAAAGGGCTCAAAAACATTAATGTATAAAATATGACGAATAACAGCCGATACCGATGCCAACATTGGTATATCATAATCCTTAGAATGGACACAACTTCACTTCCATCAATCCATCCATGCATGGCTTCCCTTTAAGCTGCATCCGTGATTATCCTCCTTCAAAATCATCTATACACTGATTTTTATTATTTGTGCTTTAATACTTGTAGGTTTCTTATATTCTAATTTTAAGTCTGTTTCCTGTGAGTCTGGCTGTCTCTGGGTTGGCTGGCACAGCTATTTCTGAGTCTTGTTAAATTAAGAAAGACAAAAAGATATGTTGAATTTTATTATAGCATTGCATATTTTTTCTTGTAAACTTGGAGTTATATTTCATTGCATGTTGCATATCCCAGTAAATCTGTTTTACCTTTAAATCTGCAGCCGTCCCTAATTGTGTCTCTGCTCTGCTTAAAAACAGATTTATAAACCCATATAATGATGCCAGAGAAACTAATTTTCAAGATATCTAGAAGCTCTGCAGTCTGATTGTAATTAATTTTAATCTGTAGCCACTGAGTGCTGCTGTGTCTCTCCTCCTCCATGTAGATACTCTGTACCCAGTGAATAGCGACCCCAAATAATATTACCGATATGTCCCAAAGCGACAGATCCGATGATATGAGGTTGGACTCGAAAGGAAAAAAAACACGGACTGTAAAAGGCTGTGAACACCCAACCCCAGTAACTGTTGGCTAAAGTAAATCAGCTGAAAGGGGGGAAAAAAACAGAAATTATTGGCGGAGACTGTCCCCCCATGCCAAAGTTGGTGGGAACATGTCAACACCAGTCCTTCAGAAAGTTACGCCTCTGGTTCCCGTGATGGGATGAAAACGTTCTGTATTTTCACGTACGGTCCAAAATCCAAAAGGTATCGTTGTAGCCTTAAAAGCCTTAAAAGTGCAGTTAGAACAGGTAAAGACCAGCAGAGGCCTGACACCTGTATCCCTAGCCTCGTACTTCATTTTTACTGATACGGTAATATTTAAAAGTGGTTAAAGTGTGCAGCTAAAAGTCTAACCGTAGGGCAGGGCTGCTGATTCTGCTTAGACTTGTTTAGACGACACACCAGAGGCCTCCAAATAAACTGTCTTCCTGAGTTTCTTCTGGTGGTTTTAGATAGGAAGAATATAATATAATGTGAGCAAAAACACAAACTTAAAATGTAAGGTTAAGAAATAATAAACATCTGTTTTCTATCCAAAAACCAACTTTGGTACAAAAATCATACATTCTTACCATTTGTAATGTTTTATCAGAGATATTTAAAATGAATGTTTTCAGTGAGGAAAAGCAGCATGCGATAAAACAGTTGGGATTCAATAGTGAGCAGATTTTAAAGGTAAAAGTAAACCTAATATATAAATATGTCACGCCAGCTATCAGCACCAATCTCTAGATTACAATCCAAGAAGCCTTTAAAAGCTTCAAAACAAACAGATTAGGATCTAATGGTTCTGGAAAAAAATAAATAAAAACAGAAAAGAGCTGCTTCATGCATCCATTTGCAGAACAGTCTTCCATTTGCCCGTTTGACTTGATCCAACTCTGTTTTGGTTTCTTACGGACATATTCTAAAACATCTACATTGAGAAACTTAAAGCAAAATTACTTTTGTTTTTTGTTATACCAGAGCTGCACAATATCTGATCTCAATGAACACAAAAAGTCTGGTGAAAAATGTATTCACACTCTGCTTGGGAACAACATGTTTGACCCGCCACACTGCTGGCAGACCTACGGCTTCCTGACAGAGACGGTTCTTCTGCATGGAGTCAACGCTAAAGACAAAAAATACTGTGAAAATATCGCAAAACTTATTAGTAAATATTCCCCAAGGCACAACCCCAGCACCGTTTTCGCCCATAAGCCAGATATTACTCCTCCTTCTGAGACCCAAAAGGCTTCACTGAGCCCAGAGGAGAAAGCAAATCACTGTCAGAGTGAGCACCCAGTGAGAAGCAGGCAGTAAAATTGTGAAACATTCAAACTGTTTCACAACAGAAATAAGCAGAGAAGACTTGGAGCCATCAGATAAGCAAACAGCCCTTCTCCTCCTGCAGACTAATAAGCAGAAATCATAACCAACACAAAACATGTTTTCTGCAGCTCTGAGCCATGCGGCACACATCAAACCAGATAAGATAAAAACAACACCAATGCATTAGCTTATCATCCTCTGCTGCAAAGAACAGTGGTGCTTCTGTGAGCAGCTTATAACATGTCAGCACAGGAAAGATGACCTCAGTTACCGTGATATTTACACTGACAGAGTCGTCATCTTTGTCTCTTCACTGCACAGCAACTTTAACAGACAAAGGTTATCAGCCTCAGAGGGGCAGCAAGTTAAGATCAGGAACAATATTCATCTCAGTGACTTGAAGTCTCAATCCAGGCATACATAAGCCCACAGCGCCATCTAGTGATCGGAGCTGTTTTCTAAACCAAATCTACTCCACCTCAGGTCGTTGTTCAAATACCTCCACATCATCTGCGTGCCTCCCCTCGTCTGATTCGTCCACATCCTATAAAAACAAAAACGCAGAGGGTTAACACTGTAATGGGGGAGGAGGGGGGGTCAGAGGGCAGCAGACCCCTTCCACATAACCTATAAAACACAAAAGAACCTAAAAAAAATCTAAAACTTGATCTAATCTACAACAGGATGCTAATTTATAGGAAGGGACTAGATCAGTTAGTGTTGTGAACTGAGGAATCATTTCTGTATGGGAATAATTTATTGAGCCACATTTGAGGTTTTGATAACGTTTCTTCTATTTATAAAGAGTTGATGTTAAGAATAATTTTATTTAGCACAGAGAATCTGGGTCTTGATCAGATTTTAGTATTGTTGATCACATATTAGCCAGGAAGTCATAAAGTCACATTATGGATGGATGAGTGGAGATCAACTGGTTCCTGATGTTGTTGCGGTACCGGGAATTTTTAATCGACACGATACCACGTAATTACAGGGTCAGTATCGCAGATATTGATACCATACCAATACTTTTTAACATTTAGGTTTTATGTATTTATTTATTTATTGGGGCAATGAGCAAAGTTTTGTCTCCTCTCTCCGTTTCTGTAGCTCGAGGTTTTCTTGCTCGTGTTGCTTTTTCATGTGCTTATATAAACTTGTTGTGTTTCCACTGCATTTAATGGGCCTTTTACAAACCATACAGAATGCCATTGTTTCATTTACATTATTAAAATAGTTGTATGTGTTGAGTGGAGAGAGCACTGAGTGGGCGGGGCCAGGCTGAGCCTGCATGTTGAGCCGGTAACGAGAGGGGAGAGGGAAGCAGCAAAGCGATGTAACACAAGCGGGCAGACTGGTCAATCTGCTGCAGTTAGTGCGTACGGGAGAGAAGGAAAAGTAACGATTTTGTTTAACCAATATTGTTCAGTATCTTTACCAAAGTTTGTTTTGATACTATCGATCCTAGGATCGATTTCTCCCACCTCTTATACCGGCCTCTATTACTTTTATATTGTTGAATTTCAGAATAGACTTGATTAAGTAGTATTAATAAAACCGGGGAAACAAAGTCAACAACAAAAGGTAAGAAAGCAACGGAATAATGTCAAATTAACTAACGAGTTACAGAAACTTAGCGTAGCATAGTGTTCCTATCAGCATGAAAATATTGGAGATTTTAGAAGTCAGCTGATAAAATCCGATATTAGTTTTTAGGTTAATATCAGAGATAAATCTATACATCATATGTTGTTTTGTTTTATTTTTGAATCAGTCGATTTATAAACATGTTTGTCATCAGTTTATTCTGCAGCCATGCTTCCGATCAGAAGGCATGGATTGCCACTTCCTTCATTAGCTTTCCATCATTAGCATTTTCTTTGATAATTAATGCTTCTTTTTGATTAAACTGAACATCCGTCATCATCGTGTCATTTTTAATTTAAAAGAGAAATAAATATAAACCGAAAGAATATGCTCTTAAAAATCTGCAGTACATTGGTCTGATTGGTTAGATAAAAAAAAAAAAAAAATAGTTATCCAAGAGATGGTGTCTTAGATAAATAAAAGATAAAATTATTACTCACTACCTTGAACCATAGAGCCACCTGTGCACCCAGTTTATTCAGAGGACGATAAAAAAAATCTACTGAAGTTTAAAAATATATAAAATCAATAATAAAAATACAACAAAACTTAAATGAAGATGCCTAAAAATCAACAAACTGTCTTCATGAGAAAACTGAGGATCTGTGTTCCTTAACAAAAAGCAATACATGTGTTTGACTGAAAGGTGCGGACGTTGCCATGACGGTGGCTCTTCTTTCATTCATAAAGGTAGAATAACCAACCCATCACCAAATAATGACTATTTGATCGTTTCCAGTACAAAAATATACAGTTTTCTATTCTGTGCAGGTTTTTCTTAAATCTTCCAGCCTGTCAAGTTTAGCATTTCCTACATATAATCACATTACTACTTATCCACATCTTAAGTGGGACTATAAGTAGTAGGACTGGGAGATATGCCTTAAAACATAATATCTGATTTTTTTTTTCCAAACCAAATTTAAATCGGTCGATTTTTTTCCTCACTTAATTTACAGAGTACAAAAAAAAAAAAAAAAAGAAGACACATTTTTTAAAACTAGTTTTGTCCTCTGGACAGTTCAATTTAAAGAGCAAAGAAATTCAAGCTGTGAAACCTGCTTGTAAAATGATGTTTCACAGCAATCAAAATATAAAACTAAATGTTATAGGGCTGCAACAACGAATCGATAAAATCGATAAAAATCGACTTTTAAAAGCGTTGGCAACGAATTTAATCATCGATTAGTTGTGTCGCGTGATTAATGCGTCATCCGCCGCCGCCGTCATCCGGGGGAAGAAAAAAAAATATGGCGGAGCGAGTCAGCGCCGCAGGTGCAGTGTTGCCAACTCAGCAACTTTTCAGACCCCTCCAGCGACTATTTTTCAAAAAAGCGACTAGCGACAAATCTGGCGACTTTTTACGGTGTCACTGGTGGCTTTTGCCTGCCGTGGGGCGCCTCCCCCATCCCAACCCCTTTCTCCCTCTCAGCGCTGCAGTCAGAGCCGCAGGATTTTAGTGAGGAGTTTACCCTCAGCGTCCAGACTGCAAATGTAGCGCGCATGCGCCGGGATTGACGGCGCAAATTGATCACAATAATTAAAATAGCCTGCGCTTTGTAAAGTGAAAAAAGTCGTAACATGCAACTTTTGTAAAAACAAATGAACATGGCACGGAAGCAACACTGTTATGACGCAGCACCTGAAAAGAAAACATGTTGGAGCCTTCAATGGCAGTGAAGATAGCTGATCAGCAGGATGAGTAACCATGTTTGTTTGGTTTTAAAGTGGGGAAACGTTACGTTAGTTTCTCAGGTAGCTCATCTGATGCTTTCCTTACCTTGTTAGTAGGTTACAGACAGTGATAAGGTTGGCTACTTATTTTACTTTTAATTTCATTTGAATTAGCTTAAGCAGCGTTTATATTTTCTTTATAAATAAATTAACTTGCAAATTATGAGGGCAAGGCTTTTAAAGTTTAAATCTTCTGGCAAAAATAAAGTAAAGAAGATCCTGCAATTTATGGAAGTAAAGCAGAATAAAATCCAGCAAGATCAGTAATATGTCAATTAATTATCTGCCACATTCCCATGTAAATAGCAGTCTTTGGAGGATGTGTTTTTTAGCACCCCTAGTTCTCTCATTTTATTCCAAATACAATTTATAATTTGAATCACAGGGCTATTTTATCTCTAAGGTTCAGTATTTTCTCAAGCAGCAACTTTAACTGCTATACTTTCCTGTCTTAAAAGGCAGAACTCTTCTAGTCTAAAAAAAAAGAATTTGTTGAAATGGGGGGGCCTATTGTTTGAACCCCTTAGGGGCTTTAAAAAACAAAAATGCCTGTCTCTTTTTGCGCTTTATGAAACAAAGTACCCTCTATTTTGTGGATGTACAGCTACATTTCTCATGTAAGTTTGCGTAGTTTTAACACAAACATTTATTTTTCATATTGCACCAGTACAGTTAATGAGCAACCTGTACTTGTGTGCTTGTTTGTTCTGTCTAAAATGTTTATTTTGGAATAAAGAGGTTAATATAAAAAAAATTTTCTGCCCGATTCATCGATTAATCGAAAAAATAATCGGCCGATTCATCAATTTTTAAAATAATCCTTAGTTGCATCCCTAAAATGTTAGCAGCGAGTGGGATCACACAGTGAGCTGGTTTATCAGTAATAAGTTTACATCGAAGAACAAAAAGTACTGATGTCACTCTGAGCGGAGGAAGTCCAAAGACTGGATTGGTGAGAAAACCGAAATACAGATTTTCCAAAAATCAAATCTTCATAAACAAGAATGAAATTATTCAATAAATATGATTAATCATCTAACCCTACTTTTAAGAACAAGACCCATTACATGTGGTGGACTTTGCATAAGGAGCTGCTTTCTCATTCTTAACATGGCCTTAAACCAAACAGAAAAACAACTGAAAGCTCGATGAAAGAAAACGGCTAGCTGTGCTAATCTTCTGTCTGTTTGGCACTCATTCAGAAGGAAGCATGTCAATTATACCAGGTTTCATGATTTCATCACAACGCAGCAGCAGACAGAGATAAATAACCACAGCCAGTTCAGTTCCACCAACTAACAGCAATGTTTTCTTTCTCAACACAAAAAAAAAACAAAAGGTACTCCACCCTTGCTTGGATGATGCTAAATCAGCCAAATAAATTAGGAAGTAAATTAGTTCATTCAAACAATCCTAAAATCATTAAACAGCTTCCAACATCTTAATCAAAATATGCAATTCTTTCAATGGATTAACAGGAAGGTTGGCCTGATTCCTTCTGTAATATGACATGTAATTCATCTTAACCAACTGGTATTTTCTTTTACATAAATGCATTTAAAACATTGAACATCTTTGAGTTTTCCATACAATTCATTATTTTTTATTTTATGTTATAAAATCACAAGATTAACTTCATGTGATGTGAATAAAAGGAAAAAGTTTAACTAACTGCTCATTTTCTGATGGATTTAAAACATCGGTCTGTGTTAATGCACCTGGAGGGCATCTTTCCTCTCTCTTCCTCTTTAACAGTCAATATTTGCACATTTTACTGTGAAACAAAGTCTACACAGATATTTAAATACGTCTGGTGAGGAATGTCTGCTGAACATTGCTGGTTACTTATCACAGATCTTCATGAATAAGATGCTGCAGCTTAGGGACATCTTAATGTTGGTACAAGAGTAGTTAGGAAGACGTTTTGTTATACCATGCATTTACCTAACTTCCCAGAAATACCAAACTGTCTGCAGTCGATAAATGCATCAACCAAAATCAACATTGCAGACATACTTTGATGCAAAGACAGCAAAAACGTATTTCCTTTCTTTCCTTTATGGATTCAAATTACAAGTCTTCATCAACAAACTGGAAATGTCCTTGTTTACGCTTATGCATTGCTTTTAAAACTGGAATCAGCAGATAAGATCTCAGTTCTTATAGCATTGGGCTTTTGGAGTAATATATTTACAAAGTGATGTTTTTCTACTACAGCTTAGGTTCAGTATTTGAAATTCCGGTAAAACAACGGTTTACTAGATTATCGCTTGCTGTCATTACTCAATATTTATGTCTAGTTTCAGCCAGGACTCAGTCAGGATCCAAAGGAGACCTGTAGGGAGGAGTTCAGAGGTCAGATACTGACCGAGTTGCTGTCCTGGCTGTCTTCATTTCCAGATGCTTTCTCTTCCACATCCTCGGTGCGGTTCAGGTCGTCCTCTCCATAGCCATAAACAAGGGCTACTCCTCGCCCCCCTGGACACAACGAAACAGGAATGGTTCATCTGCAGCTTCCATTTTGTAGGCCTTTTAACTCTGTTATATTTTAATAATCAGCCTCCCCTAAAAAAATATTAATAATTATACTGGTGTGGAGTTTTAAGAATGACTGATTCGGTTAAGGAAATACATGATTTTAAAATAAAATTATGTTTAATCAATTCAAGTTTGTATATTCACAAATACCTCCATACTGATGCTCCGCAGAATCAGAAAAAAAAAAAATACTTGTGATGCTATTAAACTTATGACAACATTACTGCATTTATCTCCCTTATTTCTTTTCTTCTTTTTAATAATCGTCCCACTGTTCTTTACACGAGTATGAATCTTAGTAGTTAAGAGGTAGGTCAATCCATCATGGCGACCAACACTACTGGAATGATGAACGACATTTGAAGCATCAAATATTGGTTTCAAGCATTTCTTATCAAGCACAGTTATCAGCACTGACACTAATGATGTCCCTGCTCTAATATTTAGTAATTATAGTCACTTGATTTCATCTGTGAAACTTTAAAATACACCATCTAAGACAAAAGTGCTACTGGTTGGAATTATAGCAGTAAAAGTTTCTTCCAGCACATTTTGACCCCTTAAAAGTTATTGATTTTGAGCCCAAATATGTCACAAAACATGACTATTAATTAGAATAAACACAAACATGGGCACAAAGGGTGTTTTCTTTCAGACATTAGATGATTTTTCATATTAACAATGCTAAATTGAGCATAAATATAATTATAGTGTAAGGTTTTAATATTTTACCTTGTTTTAAGGATTAGTTATTTAATTACCTAACATTGGTTTATTATTTATTTATATATAATTATACTTAACTGTGCTTGATATATATATATATATATATATATATATATATATATACCCATCAAATTTTCAAAATGTGCATTTTCTGACGGATATCTGGATTTCTACCACAATTACTGAAACATTAATACTATATATTTTTAACAGGTTTTAATAAGTTCACATTGTCGTGTTCTCAAGCTTCCAATATCATTAGTAAGGACTTTGACAAAATAAAATAAATGAATGCAATGGGTATAATATAGTTTAAATATAGTGCTTAACCCGGTCAGACTTAGAATCACCAACAGAAATCAAAACATCAACCAAAGAGTCAGAATAAACAATTACAATCCGGAAGAATGCAAAGATTAAAAAAAAACAAGATAACGGTAGGCCGTCTAAAAACTATAATTAGATTAAACAAACGCATTAACAGAATTAAGGAAAACTAGGCTCTAAAAACTAGCAAAGTAAACAATATCCATAAACTAAGTTCGGCTAAATGCAAATAGTTTAGTGATTGCCATGACCTGGGTAGCTGTTAAGCTAACGTTAGCCTACACTCAGATTCAGTCACTATTCTCTAATAAACATTAACTTTTATTCTCCTAACAGTTACAGTCCTTCTTAAATAAATAACATTGACCTGTATCTTCTTGTTCTTGGTCGGAGTCCGGCTCTGAATCGTCAGTATAATCCGCTAGAGACCAGATGAGATTCTTTTTACCGCTCGCCATTCCGTTCGTCGCATAAACGCAGACGTCTGACGGGCGCACCTTAACTACGTCACGAGGACGAGACGCGTCAACTGCGCAGTGAGCAAGGCGCACAAACGTTGCAACTGTTCCAGTTGGGGATGTTGTCCTTCGTTATGCAT